GTTCTTTTATAGTCACTGATGTGTCAACTTCCAGAAAGAATATAAAGTAATGATTTGTAAAATTTGAACATTGTTTAATATAAAAGATAAATATTTTTAAGTTTAAATTCATTAGCTGTTGAGGATTAAAATAATACTTTTTGTATCAGTCATGTAATCTAAGAAACTAGCTTTGAATTCTATTCACAATTACTTGTGTAACTTCTAAGTTTTGTTTTTTATTTTCTTGCTATTGTTATATAAATCAGTTTTTGTAAAATTAATAGTTTTAATAATTGTAAGAATGCTAGATGATGGCTGAAGATAAATTTATAAACTTTAATTGCAATTAAGAATATAAAAAGGTAGACAATAGATGAATATCCATGAGACAATTTTATAAGATTTTAATTATGAAAAATGCTAAAAAAATTTAAACACAGAAGAAAGTGGTATTTTGCACAGAAATCAGGATAAAAAGATTTGAATATGTAGGAGTGGTCAGCAAGAACTTTAAAAGAAAGTGTGATAAAATGTTACATCTTTAACTAGAAGAACTCTTCTCTGGGAGAGAAAGTAGGTTAATTAAAATGATTTTTGATGTTAATGAGCTAAATATTACAGAAAAGATTAATATTTTTGAAAAAATCAACAGAAAAATGTGATTAATAAATGTGATATTTAAACTCTTCTAAAGGGTGAAAATGGCTTTGCATTTGTTATATATAATTATAAGTGATTTGTTTTAGATTATATTTCTTAACTCTTTTTCTGTCCATTTGTTTATCTACGTTGTTTATTTTCTTAATTAAAACAAAGTTTATAATCTGAAGTCATTCAAAAATTAAGGATGACACAATAAGAAATCAATTCTTCCAAAGTTAGGCTAGAAAATTTCTGAAAATAATATGCACTTGAGATATATGTCAATCATATTCTTGCATTCAAAGGTAGCAAAGAAGTATCTATTGTTGGCTTGATGCCAAACTGACGTATGTAATTATTTAACCTATTTTCCAAGTAAAATAATTAAATAATAAAAAAGGTGGAAAAGTCAGGGACTTTGAAATTTACTGCAAATGCCAGAGAAAATTCATGGAAATTTTTATATAAGAACAGAATATTTGTGATTTTTCTGAACTTTTAACAGATTGTGATTTTAAAGTATATGAAAAAAATTTTAAAATACAAAAACAAGTAAAAAGTTTTCCAAAATAAGAATCTATTAAATAATTAATATTATAACAAATAGCATTAATTTCACTTTATTCATAACTTAAAACATGATTTAGTAGTTAGTTTGCTGATTTAATAATAATACTATTTCCTTTTTTTAATAAATTGAATATTTTATTATAAAATTATTTTATATATATACATAATATCCATTATTAAGAAATATATAAAATGTGTGTTAATTTAAATAAATAAATATTATAATTCAAAAATTTAAATATACTCACATAAGTAAACAAGCCTGAATGTATAATTCATGCTTGGTTCCTTTTGTATAATAAATGTATAGTAATTTGAATAAATCTGAAATGTATAATAAATTCAGCTTGATTATTTGATTAGTAAAAATGTAAATATTAACACAATTCTCAAATTTTTGTTTTTTTTTTTTTAAATAATAATAGATATAATTAAATTTTTTTAAATTAAAACTTGTCTCTCATATCAATCTGTAACATTGATAATTGACAACAAAGGAGTCTGTTTAGATTTTAAACATAAACCTTTTTCATAAAGATATGGCATTCATAGATATAGTTTAACAGCATTGTCTTATGCTAAGTATATAGGTGCTAATTAAATTGGAAAGTATACTAGTAAAATATGGCTTAAAGAAAAGTTCAATAGTTTTTAAAAAATATGGACCAGTTTCAAATATTTTTTCTATTGTTATGCTATCTATTCCTTATTTAGATTACAAAGCGATGCCAAGAGGAAAATATCACTTCTTCATTAACTAAACAATAGAAGTAATAAATCTCTAATAAAAACTAACATTTAGAAAAAATAATTACCATATTTAAAAATTTTATAATGCTATTTGTTTTTTTATAAATTGATTGTATAATAAAATTACATTATTAATTTGTTGACAGCAAATCAATTACAATTGATATTTTTAAATGAAAATTATATGATCTGCTCTACTGGATGAAGCAAATATTTTTAACAATTTTGATTTGTTAATCACTAATTAAACTATAAGTTAATTAATGCAACAATTATTTACTTAAATTAAGAAATAGAAAATTGACAGATTAATGCAAAAATAATGGATGATGATTAAATTATAAAGTGAATGGTCTTAAATGAAAAATGATTAGTTTTGAAATGTATGTTATTACTTTTAATTTTCCTTCTCTAAATCGTTATTGATGATAACCTGCTTGATTTTAATCTTTTTTTTTTTTTTTTTCTCACCATACTGATAATCTAAATTGAACATTTTTCATTTTCTATATAAATTTTTAAAAATAAAGTAAGAATATTACAATAACATATTAATACTTAATTTATGTTAATTCAATTTATGAATTTCCTCAATAATGTGATTTTTAATGATGCATTAGGTTTGTGTATTTGTCTAAATTTTATATATCTGTTTTTAAAAATTTCTATTAAGAAAGATAAAGTGTTATTTATATTTTATGCACGCAACAATTTTTGAAGATAGTGAAAGCTCTTTGCTAATCAATTTAAAACTTATTATATTTAAAGAATAATGTGTGTGTTTATTTATAATCACATTTACTAATCCATTAATTTACTAAATTTTTGTTTCTCATCAAGTTCTCTATAAATTTCTCACATGCTCATATTATTTTTCCATAGTTGTACAGTAGAACTTGGATAATTTTAATATTTTTAATTCAAATGTGTCGTGTTAATTTGAATAGTTCCTCCAGACCCTTGACTTTCCTATAGAAGTAATTAAGAATTCCTCTTTAATTCAAACATTTTTGGTTAATTTGAAGTAAAATTGTGAGAAGTTTATTGAGAAAAATGTATTGTTTATCTAATATTGAGAAAAAATGTGTGTTTAAGCACTAACATTGAGAAAAATGTGTGTTTAAGCACTAACATTGGTAGCATTGATTGGGAAATTCCAGAGTACCTGTATTCAGCATGTTTCTTAGCAATAATATCAATTTTGAATTTTGTATTCCATTAATGGAATCCTTTAATTCAAATTTTGTTCTCAACCTGAGGATCAGGCTGAAAACATTTGTTTTGAAATAAATTACATTTCTGGGCAAAGATAAGGTGTTATTTATATGTATATGTATGTTTCTTAGCTTCAACTTAAAAATTTTCTTTTTAGCTTTAAGATGGTTTGTTGAGGAATTCACTTTAGCAAGCAAAATATATTTTTGAAAAAAATTTCTTTTTTAAAAAATGTAATTGATAAAAGTGCTATATGAAATATTAAAAACTGTAATGCAATAAAGTATACCTAGACTCTACTGTAATAAATTGTTTGTTAATTTACTGTTACAGTTTTGTATTTTATTTACATATTTTAATGCCAATATCAAACTTCATAATTTAAATTTTGTTTTGCAGTCCCTTCAGCTTCTAATTATCCAAGTTCTAGTGTATTTCTGATTTATGCAAATACACAAGTAATGGTGAAGTTTTATAATAATATATTTTTTAAATATTTGTGCCTCTAGCTGCAGCTGCACTAATTTGCAATATACTCAGCATTCCATACATTATATATTGTATTATTATTATTTTTTTTTTAACTCTTTTCATCCTATGGGCACTAAGAGGATTATATATTGTATAAGAATTGCTACTTTTAATCAGTTTTACAGTATATATTATTAATTTTAAAAGTTTAAATCAATAATACATATTGTAAAACTTTTTTTTCCCTTTAGCTGTCATTTTATTATTTCTATCTTTTATCAAAAAATTTAATTATTGTTCTGAAAAACTAGTAATAGATTGTCAACATTTTATTGAAAGTCTTTCTTTATTTTCCTACATGCTGCTAAATTAAAGAAAAATGATATTTCTGATATATATTCTCCAAAATATTTTAAGATTTTCATGTTATATATTTTCTAAATGTTATAAAATTGCATTATATATAAATTTTACATTTATTTGCTCCTCTATCAGATTTTATATTTCTATAAACATAAATATAACAAACAGATTTTTGTCAATATTTATTTTTTTGTTTATAAAAATGATTCCAGTTGCAATTTTTATGATTTTTATAGTTTATTTATTTTTAAATAATGTTAAAAGTACCTTAAACAAATATATTAAATAATTTTTGAATTTTCTGCTTGCTAAAACTTAAAGTTGGTTTTATTTTTACTACTTCATATTACTACCTTTATTTAATATTTATAGATAAAATTCATAAGGTTTAGTTTTTTTTATGTAATAACAGTTTAATAGAAAACATATTGAAAAACCAGAATTGTATGAACCGAAATTTAAATATAAAAGTTTGAAACTATAGCAAAGACTTCAATAATATTTATAATAAAAATTTTATTTTTATTATATGCATTCAGTTCCCTATCAAAAATTTTATTATGTACAGTATATTTGTTTTTATTATGAAATTCTGAAAAATTTTGATTTCTGAAATTTTCATATTAATAGTTACATAAAGTAATTGAAAATTTCTGTTTATATTACTTTCTGAATATTAATTAATTAATTAATTAAAAATGAATTTGTTTGTAATGTTTCAAAGAATACATATCATTATTTGATGATAAAAAATGTCATATGTGTCAATTGCTTAATATATTGATAGCTTACAATTTTTTTTTATTTTAATAAATTAAGTCTGTAATAAAATCAGTTACTATATAATTTTATATAGCACGAATTGGAATTTTAACTCATAATTTTTATTTTATAAAATAATTAAAACTGTAGAAAAAATTTTTTTATTGCAGTGTTTTTTTTTTTCTCAACAATATTCATCAGAGTGATTATAGTTAATTTAAATTATGTACATTTAATTTGTATAGGTAGCAACATGTCATAATACTTTACATCAAAAAGTACTTGATTTATTAATTAGATTGTTTGAATCTCCTCAAGAAGAACTTGATGTTCTTGTTCAGGTAAACAAAATTTTTTAAAATAATTTTTTAATTAAGGTTATGTAACTGTGTATATTTTATTATTTCAGTTAGAAATGAAAAAAATGCTTTTAGATCGAATGGTGCACCTGTTAAGTAGAGGATGTACAGTTCCTGTTGTTAATTATATTAAATCTTGTTGGCAAAGACAAGATACAGATGTATCTTTAATACGTTATTTTGTTACTGAGGTAAATAAATGTTTTTGGTCAAGTTATTAAATATAATTTTTCATTTCTTAAATAATTTTAAAAAGTAATTACTATAATTAATTGACTGTAACTACAATTTATGAAACAACAATATATTTTTTAATCAATCTTAACTCATTTTCTTTATTTTATTATGTAATCAATTGTAAATTATAATTAGTTATTTGTGAATAATATTTATATATTAAATATGTGTAATATATATGTAAGAAGTTGTATGTGGGGAATCTGGAGGGAAGGGGAGGGTATGGAACACTGAGGGAAAGGTGGGCTGACTGAGCAACTGGAAGAGTATCTGAAAGAGAAATAGATTCTGAGTGGAAGAAGCAAAAGAGGTATGTATGGATAGACAGAAATGGCACAAGATTGTTGGGTATGGGTGTAGTGCATGATTTCAGCAAGACCCAGTGTGAAAGTTTGGGTGAGTGTTCCTGGTGTGCTATGCCCTGCCCATACGATATTCTTCAGAGGGTTGCAGGGTGTTGTGTACAAAAAAAGCCACTTTTTTCTTGCCCAGCCCTTTAGGGAATGCTGTGATAGTATAGATAGATAGATAGATAGATAGATAGAAATCTTTATAAAAATATGTGTATAAATATATCATCAATAACATTTTAAAAATATATTATGATATATTAATTACTTTTATTCTCTGAGTTTAGAATTATTATTTTTTTATATGAAGTAATTAGTATACAGTATAATAGTATCAAATAAATTCTACAATTCTAGAAATATTGAAAATTAAAGTTTTATTATTGTTAAGCTTAAGTTTCAAATTTGTAGAAGTGTTTGGCATATTATATTATATCAATCTTTTTATATTTTTAAATGAAAAGCTAAAAGTACTTATTAAAAACAGATTTCATCTATTAGGTTTTTAATTATAATGAGCCCTCAATCAATGTAATAAACTTTTGAGAGTATAAATTAAATTTGAAGTTTCTTATAATTATATAATCATTATTATGAAGACAGGTAAAAGCTGCTTCAAAATTACTAATTATTTTTTATTACTAATTATATTTAATATTTCTTAACACTTATTAGTGCTTGCACTAATATGTTAAGAATGCAACCGTATTGGAGTATAGGTAATTGGCAGTGGACTATTAATTGGTTTAGATGCCATGCAACTGCAACACCAACTCTCCTGTGCATGGGGACAAATCCTATCTCAGGTCTTATGAAAGCTAACAGTATAGTTTAAGTTACAATCAGTACAAAACATCTTTTTAGTACTGAAAGGGAAAATGCCTGATCATCATAAAAAAAAACTGTGATGAAACTGTGTTCTTTTGAAAGATAGTTAAAAAAATTTTTATAAATTTTTTAACTATCTTTCTCTTGATCACATTATGTAACGCATGAATGAATCAAAATTTTTTATTTATTTTGTTTTTATTTCACTTTTGATGATAATTTGTTTCATTTAATTTGCACTAAAAAATCTAAGTAATTTTAAATGAGGAATATTTTAAATAAAATTAGTCTTCAAAAAAGATTTTTTTTAATCTTAAAATTTATGTTTTTTAAGCTAAAACATCTAGTTAGTATGTTAAATTTTTTTAATAAAATTTTAAAAACATTATAAAATGCAAGAATAATTAAAATGACTATTCTTGGAATGTGTCTAGATAGATGATTTTTTTTTCTTCTCATACATTCCAAATATTTCTATTATTAATACTAATAATATACTAATTACAGTCGACCCCCCTATAAGATCATTGATTTTTCCGTTTTATCTGAATTACATGTTGTACGAGTCACTTAGATTTTACAAATACGTGTGCCGGACTGTGAATGGCTCACATATTTGTAAAATCTAAGTGACTCGTACAACATGTAATTCAGATAAAACGGAAAAATCAATGATCTTATAGGGGGGTCGACTGTATAAAATTNCTTCGACGCTTTTCTCCGCTGATAAATTCATCAGCGGTCAAGCCCGAAAATTCTGCGTACAAGCCATCGAGGGCGCCTCTACCGGAGAAATTAAAAACTTTTTTAATTATTTACAGTTTTTATTTTGTTATAAACACTAACGCTTAATAATTTTAGAAGATTATTTAATACATTCGGAAATTTTCTTTTAGATAAATTTTATCGTTTAAAATTTATATTTTATAAACTGTTTCAATGTGTTTATAAATTGAATGATCACTGTGGTAGATAAAAGTGTATATTTTTTTGTTATTCTTCTTTCTTTTTTTTTTCTTTTTTAATAAACTACTGGATTTACAAAGTTTTTTGGTTTACAAGAACTCTGTCATCATATCTCATAAATAAATTGTTAGGTTTACATTAAAAATTATTACATAATTTAACTATTTATATTAGAGGAATGTTATAAGTCCATTTAAAGAAACATTTTGATAATTTTTATGTATGTGTAATACATATTAATGAAAAATTATAATTGTCTTGAAGTTTGATCTTATATATACAAAATGTACCACCAGACTAATTCTATAGAAGTTATGGAATACACATTGATCTTAGTGATGAAAAATAATCAATTAACTACAGTTTCTAATTATTATTATTTATTGAAATTAATCTGTTGTATTAGATATAAAGAAACTAATAACTAAAGCATAAATTTAGCACTGGTAACTAACTAACCATTTTCAAAGTCACATTGTATTAATATAAGGATAAATTTAAAAGCAAGTTAAAGAAAAAGAATGATATGTTGACTAATATGAAAGATATTGTAAAAAAATTTCTCTCTTAAATTTGTATGTCATAAAACATTAGGAAGCATCCAATCTTTTAGCAGGTTGTACTGTACTTGATATTAAAAAAAATAGTATTTGAGTCTCACAATTTGAAAGAACGTTCTCAGAATGCAAAACATGCATTATTATTTATATTTTTAAACAGAATAGTTAAATTTCATATATTATTTAAAACTTTTATTTTCTTTCTTTTTCACTTGTAGAATATTGTTAAGGAATTATATTACATATGACCATTTTTTTACTTTACTTTAATGTAATTTATTTTATATATATATATATACACATACAAATACAGTGCATACATTAAAGTATTAAAGTAATAATGTTCATAAATTCTGTTCTATATTTATATATTTTGTATTTATTTTATTGTATTCAGATACATGAAACTATCTTAAAATAAAAATAAATCTTGATGAAAAAGTTATTCAGAAGGAATAATCAAGAAACTTTGCTCCAGAAATCTAAGAATCAATACTTTACTAGCTGAATGTTGATTCCATATATTTTAGGATTGAAAATTTCTTGAATGTATTGACAGAAAATTATGATTTTATGAAAACCTTTACCCCTTTTTTTTCAATATTTTTGTTTAATACTAGTGATTTATGATTTAAAAAAACAACTTCTACATCATATATCTGTATCNATAGGGACAATAAGAAAGATCGCAGATATATATATATATATACACATACAAATACAGTGCATACATTAAAGTATTAAAGTAATAATGTTCATAAATTCTGTTCTATATTTATATATTTTGTATTTATTTTATTGTATTCATATACATGAAACTATCTTAAAATAAAAATAAATCTTGATGAAAAAGTTATTCAGAAGGAATAATCAAGAAACTTTGCTCCAGAAATCTAAGAATCAATACTTTACTAGCTGAATGTTGATTCCATATATTTTAGGATTGAAAATTTCTTGAATGTATTGACAGAAAATTATGATTTTATGAAAACCTTTACCCCTTTTTTTTCAATATTTTTGTTTAATACTAGTGATTTATGATTTAAAAAACAACTTCTACATCATATATCTGTATCTTATCTAAAATCAATGATTTATATACTTAATATTATTTATTTCTGTATTTCTTCTATTTTTATTGGAGAAAACATGTTTTTCTTTTTAATTATCTGTTATGTAATGAAAATTTATCAAATTGCAATCCAAATAAATTGAATTTTTCTTAATTATTTAACATTTTTCTATTTAGTCAGTTGGTTTTTAATGCAATAACTTGCTGTTTATGGCTGTGATCATGAAATTTTGTCCTTTTGAAGTTTATAATTGTTACAATGAAATATGAATAGAAGGATGCTAATTTATCATAATTGTAATATTTGTTTACAGCTAATCTTATTAGAAATAATTAATTCTTTCTAACTTTTTTTATTGCTTAGGTATTGGATATGATTGCACCGCCATATACACCAGAATTTGTTCAACTTTTCTTGCCTCTTGTGGAAAATGAAGAAATTACTAGTAATATGAAATGGGAAGGAGACAACGATCCTGTAGCAGAATTTATTGGTTGGTATTTAAGATGTGTGTGATTCTAGATTATTGATAAAATGTTTGAAATTTGATTTTGATGAAATTCACATTTCTATTTATAGTTCACTGTAAATCTGTATAAAGGAAAGCCAAATAAGTATAGGAAGTACAATCAGTTGTTGTGATAAGTTTGTTTAAATTTTTTAAAAATTTTATAATGCTATTTGTTTTTTTATAAATTGATTGTATAATAAAATTACATTATTAATTTGTTGACAGCAAATCAATTACAATTGATATTTTTAAATGAAAATTATATGATCTGCTCTACTGGATGAAGCAAATATTTTTAACAATTTTGATTTGTTAATCACTAATTAAACTATAAGTTAATTAATGCAACAATTATTTACTTAAATTAAGAAATAGAAAATTGACAGATTAATGCAAAAATAATGGATGATGATTAAATTATAAAGTGAATGGTCTTAAATGAAAAATGATTAGTTTTGAAATGTATGTTATTACTTTTAATTTTCCTTCTCTAAATCGTTATTGATGATAACCTGCTTGATTTTAATCTTTTTTTTTTTTTTTCCTCANCCACATTACAGTCCCATTACTGTAAATGACAAGTATTTAATAACTCTACTGATTATTGGCAGAAAATAATGTTTAATAACAAAAATTGATTATTAAAAAAGAATATAAAATTATATTCTTATTCTATTTATATATATAAAATAGGTTTGAAGTTATATTTTATTAGATTTTGTATTGAAATTATAAACTTTAAATATTATAATAAATTCACAAAATAACTTTTCAGACATTCTAAGTTTATAATTATTTATCTCATGTAATTAAGAAAGCAACCATAACTTTTTCCAGAGGGAATTCATAAATACTGTAGTATTGTAATGTACTGTACATGTGATATTAAATAGTGAAAAATTACTGCAGTGTTTTAAACTTTAAACGTGCTCATAAATTGATTTTTCAATATAAAAATTAATATTTAAAGCAGTAAGTAGTCTATGATTTTTTAATAGAAATCTGGGAATGATATGGAATAACTCAGTAGCTATAAACTTCTACAACATACCATAAATTAATTCTTACAAGATAACACAAACAAATTTGACAGCTGCTACATAATTGAGGGGATCAACTCTTATAATTCAAATTATCTATTGTAAATGTTTATAAAGAGCAAACTGCTTTCCAAGATAAATGCTTTATCACTTAATGATTCAAGCGTCACATTCTCAATTATTATCTTTTATCGTATTTTATCATTGGAAAAAATTTCGAGTTTAGTAATTCTCATTAACAAAAGGGCATTTCTAACTAAACCAAAATTTTTATGGATAGCTTTAAAATAAACTTGGCAACTGAATCATCACATGATCGCACGGGGTGAATTTTAAATGGCAAAAATGAGGATTTTATATATTAATATCACGTTTAAATGCACGAATGTTTACTGATGGTAGTGTGTGATAAAAAAAATAAAGTGGTTTTAATAGTAATTTCTGTAGAAAAGGAAAAACTCTTGATAGTCTCGATGTTTTTTGGATAGGGTTACATTCCACTCAAACTGGCAGCTGCTTACCCGCATCGGTTTTAACATTAATTTCCTTTTACAATATCCAAGGACGGATCGATTTAAAAATACTAATGAAGGGAAGTAAGCTACATTGGCAGTGATTAACCCGGACCGAGTTTGTAGTTCCAGTCGTTCTTTCCAAGCGTTAAATGCTAATAGGGACAATAAGAAAGATCGCAGGTGTAAGTGAAAGTCCATTACGTCATCTCGGTTCTCTAATTAAATCTCCAAAATATAGTTAGAACACATCCGTAGCTAGCTTCCACCCCCATTCCTGGCTCGAGTCCAAGATCGCATCATCCACTCTCCAGCGAGAGAGCGACATAACGCGGATGACTCAGAATATGTTCTCCGATGGATTAAAGCCATTATCCTCATCATCTTCATCTGGAGGCTGGTAGGAAATTTAAGAAGGGATCATCGGCTCATTTCTGCACTTAAAGGTGAGTGGCTTATTTCTACAATTGGACAAATGGGCGAGAGAATAAAAAAAAGAAAAGAGAGAAATCGTATCTCGCGCTCGTTTTGAGAAATGGCTGCAGGATCGATAATTGGATGGCGTCAGAAGATTTTTTTGTTCGATTATTGCCAAATTCTCAACTTAAATCGGACTTTTTTTATTGTTTGTGTTTTCGATTTAGTGTCACATTTATGTTATCCGACTATCTTGAAGGGACCGATTCTCCGGTAACCAAGAACAAAAAAGATAATCATAATCGTAATATTTCATTAAAGAAAATTAAGGGTTAATTAATTAATGGGTTTTTTTTAATCGTTAAATTCATTTTATATCTTTTTCTTTAAAGCTGAAGCCGAGATATAAATGACGCTATTGTATGTTAATCAACTGGTGCGGTATTTACATACACCACGGCTTGTCTTTCATTAACATTCTGTTATAATGTTATGTCACGGTGAAGGTTTGTTTGTATATATTTGCTATATTTATCTTCGTTTGGCATGCTTAAATCCGACGGTCACGTGACGCGACGTCACTACCCATTGGGATGCGGAGGAGACGCGTGACGCTCGCGCTTAAAAGCCAGGTGCAAGCCGAAAGTGCACCTGCCTGCAGAATGACCTCTGAACCTGCCATGACGTCAGCAATGAAAAGAATCTTTTAGGTTAAGTCGTTTTTGAACCCGATTAAACACGAGCCGATACGGGTTAAACAAAAAAAAAAAGTCTCGTGCCAAGGTTGCATGAATGTAAAAATACCTATCTATATATGCATAATCACATTAATTTCCACAGAATTTAAAATCGAATATTTAAAGAGAAATTTAAAAATAAAAATAAAATAGAATTCTCGCGACTCTAATTTAAATTTTTTAAGCGATCGAGGAAAAAGAATTTTGAAAGAAATTGAATCTAAATAGAGAAAAGGAGAAGAAAAAAAAATGGCAGAAGTAACCGATACAGAAAAAAAGATACATACTTTATCAACATTAGAAATGTCCTTTGGGAGTCGAGACAAACAGATTAAAAAATTGAAAAATCTGATCAACAGCCAACAAAAAGTGATCGGTAAGCAAAAAAAGAAAATAAATGTCTTAGAAAAGATACTGGATGAAGTAACAGAAAAAGAGAAAAACGTTAAAGAAAAATACAAAATTTCCACTAAGGAAGGAAGCACTAAACATAAAAAGAAATCGGTCGAGTTACATCAAACGGAATTACCTTTTAACCGTGGCGATAATCTAGAAGTACATCAGGTGATATAAAATATACACTTGGCGATTTACTCGCTAACTTTTTAAAATATAACAATATTTAATTATTAAAATGAATTGAATTGTTTTTACAGATGGCTTCACCTTCTTCGGGACCGTCTTCTCGCCCCGAAACCCCGACTCAAGCTGGAACGTTGGAGGACCAGTTCAAACTTTTTGCCAAATTCGGTGATTCTAAAAATACGGGAGAAGCGATCACGCTGTCCAATAGCGATAAATGGTTCAAACAGGCCAAAGTTATCGACGGAAAAACCGTCACAACTACAGACACGGGAATCTATTTTAAGAAAGTGGCCAAGTGAGTAGAATAAACTCTCTCGACTTCGATCGAAACTTTTAATATATTAATGGATGCTTTTTCGTTTTTAGAACAAAACGCGCCCTGACTAAGAAAGAGTACCTCATCTTCCTAGAAACTATAGCAACTAATAAAAAAGTCAACTTGGATGAAATGAAGGAGAAGCTGTCATCTTGCGGACCACCCGGCTTTAGTGGGACTACGGTGAGTTAAAGAATGACGTAACATTACTCGAAACTGTTTTTTCTAAAAATGTATATTTGCGTTTTCTTATAGCCGGTGGCCAGTGGAGGTGCAGTTAGTAGACTAACAGACCACACGAAATTCACAGGAACGCACAAACAAAGGTTCGACCACAGCGGTAAAGGTAAAGGTAAAGAAGGCAGAGTCGACCTAACACCTAATTCCGGTTACGTACAAGGTTATAAAGCCGAGGGATCGTACAACAAAACACATTGACCAATACTCGTGAATCCATTTCGTGTAGTATCCTCGTAGTGCGTGTTTAGTGGGACGTCAACTCGCAAATCAAAAAAGAAATCAACTCTCTTCCGATAAAATTTATCTAAAACTTGAGCAAAATCTATATGTGAAAGAACGTATCGTGTACGTGACAAATGATATATTTACATAGGCACAATTAAAAAAGAAAATTATCTACATATAAACATCTCAAAACCAGATTCATTAGTATTAAGCCACACCAACATTGTATAGCATTGGCTATTTTCTGATTCTTTTCTTTCAGGATATTTTAAAATTATTTAATTAAATTTAATACGAGGTGGTTCANTTAGATTATGTATTCAGAAGGCAGGATTCTTAATATCTAGTTTATTAAATGGAATGGAAGAATTATTTAATAACATTTCTAAATTTATAATTTCTAAACTATACCATAACATTTTTTAAGTTATTTTATTCATATTTTTAGAAAGTTTACCATAACAGGATTGCCTTTCTGACTTAAAATAAATCGACATCAATACAGAACTGCCTCCTCATATACATAAATGCATAAAGCTAACTAAATCACTGCTACTATCATCAATCATATGTTCAAGTGTAAGATTTGGATCAGTTGTATGTTTTAAAATTGTACAGTTTTCAATAAAAAAAAAAGTATATATATATTGAATGATTATCAGATCCATTCTGGTTTTTTTTTTATATTCTGAAATGAAAGTTAACAGGCATTGGTAGAAACAGGTTCTTACTAGAACTTTTTTTTCCCCTTTAATTTCAAGCCCAAGGCACACGATTATAATGCTAATCTCATTTCTCTAGATAAGTGTATAAATTTAGTCTGGTTTATGCTTTTTTTTGTTTTCAAATGATGAATTGTTTGAAAACCCTATTTCAAAACCGAGTAAACCATCCATTCGCTATACAACGTCGTACACTAGTTTATATTCCACGTTGTGATAGAGAGCTTTATAAAAGTACTATAATCAATTATATATTAAATTTACATCATTTAGAAATATATATGTATATATAAATGTATATATTAGTAAAAAGCGGGTTGGACGAATTTGTAAAAAAAACCTATAGTGAGTAGTTATATTTATTAACAGCAGATGGCACTGGATGCGGTTTTAGGTACTGGTTTTCTTCATCTACCAGCTTCCGTGCGAAGTTAGAGCCGAGACTCGAGTATCAGTTCTATACAATGAGTATTCAGGAACATAATTGGTGATGCTCTTCGCCTCCCTTTTGCAGGTCGTACATCAACACTTGTATGACTACAACACCGAAAATAAAGGAACCAAACGCTATCATGACTCCCGCTAGCGTCAAAAGGCATCTGGTGCGGAACTCGTTCATATCCGGATCTTCTTTCAACATTAGCGATACTAAACACATCCCTGTCAATAGAAAGAAAAAAAAATGGAGTTTCATTTTATGTCCCCAACGCGTTTCGGGGAAGTTGAAAATTTCGAAATTTACCAGGAAATACAAATATGTTGATGGAAGCTAGACATCCTAATAGTTCTATGACGACGCTAATGTTCGGTGTGAAAACTGCCAATAAAACTGTGGCGATGAACCATACCGACGTGATGATTACTCTTCGACGCTTTTCTCCGCTGATAAATTCATCAGCGGTCAAGCCCGAAAATTCTGCGTACAAGCCATCGAGGGCGCCTCTACCGGAGAAATTAAAAACTTTTTTAATTATTTACAGTTTTTATTTTGTTATAAACACTAACGCTTAATAATTTTAGAAGATTATTTAATACATTCGGAAATTTTCTTTTAGATAAATTTTATCGTTTAAAATTTTTAAAATATTTCATCTATAAACTCAAGTATTAAAATATTAAAGAACACACCACCTGGTGTTTAAAAATACAAAAAGTTAAGAAAAAAAATATATAAAATAAATTATTTATTTATAGGCGCTTACCTTCCACACAATAACAAAGGAGGATAAGTGGTTATCATCTTAATCACCAAAGCACACACACCTATCAAAACAATGGGATCCGTAGCATCGTACTGTTGCATAATATCCGGAGCAACATATGATCCGAAAGTCAAATAACCGAAACTTCCAGCCATGCAGTAAATAACCATCAGAAAACCAAGAGCTAGAAAAGTAGCTTTAGTAAAATCCGCCAAGTTACGATTTCTCATGCAAGCGTAGACAGGAACGACTATTTCATGAGTCTGCAAAAATTTCATACGAGATAAACACTTTAAAAATGACTTTTACCGCTCTTTTGTAGTATTTTTATTTTTTCCTGACAGTATCAATATATGCAAGCCAGTGAGCAATACAAGAAATTGTTTCGAATTGTTTATTTTTTTTTTCTTTCCTTGCATAATTCATACCGCAGATGGTTACGACTTTACTTTGTTAAAATAACTGTACTGTACCTGATAGGCAAAGCAGATAACCGGTACGACTACAAAGACTTCTATGGCACTTTGAGGGCTGGAAAAAGTAATTTTAAAGATCGATTCAGCTTTTCTGTACTTCCGTTCGCTACATCATACATCGGATTTAAGTCTATTTCCTACTTACTAAGTATTGATCACGCCTCTAGGACCTTCTAATTTGTAATATTCGTAAATAGTTAAGAAGACGGGATACAGCATTGCGAATATTCCTAGAGTGCTGGAAAATAATTGAAAATATAAATAAATAAATGAAATCTCCAGCGCTTCGTAAGAAAAAAAAAGGCTATTTAAATATTTAAAAAATTCATTTAGGATTAAAAGTCTGGAGTATGAAACCATCAGCCTATTTAGAAAATTAACCGAAAATTTTTACTTTTTTTTTAATATAAAAAAAAAATGTAAAAATTTTATATGTCTGTCCTAAATAAGGCGGTTTTATATTACTACTTTCATATTTAGGACAAACTACTTTTATCTTCTTTATCGAGTTAAATTTCTTTAATTTTATATAAAAATAAAATTCGTCTCTTCAATTTTATTCCGAGAATTATAGAAGTTTTAAATATGTGTTTTAATCGAATTTTTTTAATAACGTATCCATATTTACGTTTCCTTTACGATATGGCATGGACTTCAAAATGCGCCTTGCGAAAGAGGAAAGCTATAAACTTCTAAAATGCCCTTTTAGTATTTAAAAGTACTAAGTTTTCTGATCGTAAAATGAGTCGTTTGTTTTAACTTATCCATAATTTTTATTAGTATTTTATTATTTTTTTTTTTTATCGCAAAAATTTACAGTCGTCGACACTCGACGCCATCTTGGCCACCCCAACGAGAAGACTGACAGTTGCAACTGGAGTAACTCGCGAATCTGTCACCGTTCGGACAGATTAATGATTCTTCTGTGCAAATCACGTCACAGAGCCGAGGAAAAAAATTCACTGCATAAGTTCGACGCCGTATATGCTTGGTTTTTCCTCCCCTCCTCTGTTCTTTCAATTCCGCTGGCGATATCAATCGATTTTTTTTTTTTTTAAGAAACTGTTACAGTTTTACATTTGAAAATTTTTAAAGTTTAATTAAAATCTTAACGAGATTATTTATTAATTTAAACCATTTTATAACTCCTTGAAGATTCTGTAGAATTGTCGAGAGAGCGATAAACATCTTGACGATTTTTCAATATCAAATCGTGCTTATAACAAGCAATCGATAATTTTTTTAGAAAAAAAACAAATTAATAATAATTTAATTAAAAATAATTTTACCTGGCATAACGAAGGAAATCCAATCTCTGAAAATAGCACATTGGTAAAATAAAGACAATAGAAGTAGCCGGAATTGTAAATGAACGATCCAAATACCAAAATTCACAATAATTGCTTCCAAATAATGATGCAAAAACTTGAAAAAAATTTATATATTTATGTAATAAAACTTAATAATATAAAAATTAATTATATTTTATATATTTAAATGATATTTTCTGATACTTTTATCACCTTAATTTGACAATATTATGATAGCTTACTTAAGGGTGGTATCATTAAAAAAGGAACCAAAAAAAAAAAAAATCAAAATTAAAATACGTTACAACACTTTATTCTTCATTCCCCTAAGAGAATTATTCTTTTAATTAATTTTCTGACAATCTTCATTAATAAATTAATTATTTTAATCAACAGAGAGCTGTACATAACCAAACCAGTTTTTCGCGTGTGTTGCGATCTATTGTGCTACTCAACCCCCCCCTTTTTTTGGCAAAATCATTATCGTCTCGATTATTTATCTCCTAACTACCTTTACATGAATGGCAAAATATAGCAGTACTTACACCTATCGTACTGGTCACCTATGATGATGAGGAAGGTGATGCAGATGCCGAAACAAGTCATTAGTATAGAAAGGGCAGCGCACTGTTGGGCCCTTCTTCCACACATTGATAATAGAACGTCGTGATACGTGTTATCGTAGTTCAGATCGGCACAGTACGCTAATACTAACATGGTCGAAATGAGCAGGAATACCATCAACTGTAACAAACAAATATTCACTTTGTATTAATATTCCTAAATCGATACGAGTTACTCGGTCATTCCGCTTATCGTTTTAACATTTAAATCAGCTCCAGAATAAATATTTGTCTAGTATAAAAGTTTCAAAATTGTAATTATGCATTATTGTCATCGTTTTAACAGAATTTTTATCTAGAAAACGGTGGAGGAAACACGAAAAATTAGCTCCAAGAATACCGCCAAGTTCCGAAATGAATGGGGAAAAAGAAAGAATAAAGCCTCTTAGGTTTAATTTAGAAATGTTTATTTTGTTGTTATTATTTATTTTTATTTTATTTTTTATCATTTAGATTATTATTATTATTAGAGGATAGAAATACAGACAGGGTAATCTCTTAATCCGCTTTCATTCTTAGAAAATGTTATATTGTAGAACAAGGAATTAAAATTGTGAATTGTCACGGTGTAGGCTGGGGTCATTAGTGACATCAGCAATTATAAGAGTAAACGAATTTGCCAAATTACGGTATCTTCTAGCTGACAGTCTTGGAGAGTTTAAAGCGCGATCATCTTTGTGTTGCAAATGAAGCACCTTTTATGTTGCAAATAAGTAAAAGGAGTCGATGCCGAAGAGATGGCTCGATAAGAGAATTTCCATTATAATAATAATCAGATCGAATTTAATAACTCACCACTTGTAAAAATGCAGCGAAGTAGACACCTCCCGCACGATGGTAAGCGTAAGGATAGTTGAGAACTCCCGCTCCTAAAGCTGCATTAACCAGAAGAAAGGCGGCAACAGGCCAACTAGCACCTGTTAAAAGAGAAACTTTATCTATATTACAAAATTAGTTACGAAGAAGAAAAAAAAATGTGCGCTAATATTTTTAATTAAAACATCAAAGGAAACCATACCAAAAAAATAATAATAATTTTCGCTTTTATTCTTATAGAAGCGTACGAAATTAATTAAGATGCGACAGGAAAATAATAGCCGACTGCTATTGATGAATGCTACTATAACAATAATATAAAATATAACACATCTGTATGTAAAGCGTGTGAGAAACTATTTTAATGATTCTAGTAATTCTAGTTTAACAACATAATTATATCTGTAGTTTATCTTATCTAATTACACACTGTCATGGCGAAGAGAATTTAAGAAAGATAGAATCCTAGGCGTAATTAAATCCCCGAAAATGCTTTTCGAAAAATTTAAGAAGTTTTAATGAAGCAGAAGAAGAATGAAAGGATTCGACCGAGTACATTACATCGATATCAATCGTGAATTCAAAGTCCGTCTGCCATATTGGTATTTATGCAATATGGATCATCGTAACCGTCACGCTACTGTAATAAATATAACACCTAAACAGTTACGAGGAACTTGCTCATAAAAGCTTTATCAGGATCCTCTTGATTCTACTTGGCACATGACTTTTACCCATTAAACTTAAAACGCCCGGAGTTAGAACAGATAAGCACTTTTTCTCTTATTTTTTTTTTTTTTATTATTATTATAATACGGTACATAAATTTAAAAACCGTATTTTCGGTTTTATTAATAACTGAATGGTGGATTCTTTTCCCCTTTCTTTGCCACAATTAACAGTTGGTGAACTCTATAGGAATTTCGGAATTAGTAGTTGGCAGATGACGGTACCTCTTTTTAAACTGGGTTCTGGTATTCTTATCACGCTCGTGGAAGAATGTTAAGGCTGGAGGCGACTCATCGACGATATAAACTTACCTTTCGATGTTTAAAACTATCTGAAGAAAGGCCTTTTAATAGCGGATCTCGAGATACAATTGTAAACGTTTAATTATAGGCGATGCCACAACTAGTTTCGGGTCGCGTGTTGCGCTATTCAAAAATAGTGGGATGGAAGATCACTGTCATCAGAATATGCACATGTCGAATTAATAACAACGTATTTATATACATAACATTATTTTTGTCTAAGCGAAACGTGATTATTTAGTGTGATGAACAGTTAAGTCCGTTTATTTATTCATATCAATCTTTCTCGTGAAGAGTATATGTAAGTAGAATGCTTTGTTTATCTGTACGTATATATAAGCTATACATTTATACAATTCTTAACTTTGATTATGTTTATGTGCTGCACCTTACCTACAATATAAATCCTGTTTCTATATCTTAATTAAAAATTAAAGGGTAAAGGACCTATTTGAAATGGTTTTTTAACTAGTATGTCGCTTTCTTTGACTTATATTGCAAATGGAGTTCTGAAGCAGTTAAGGGTGTGATGAGAGTGAAATACCAGAGAATTAAGGGGGCGTGACTCTAAAAGGGGTTAAAAACCTTAAGAAATTAAAAAAATTGACATTTCGGTTAGTTTTATAGCAAGTTTTTATAATTTAATAAGCTTCTCCAGACAAGATCGAGGTCTATTATTTAAAAGTTTTATAGGCTCGAAGTTAACATGCCAATGGATTTCGTATACATCTTAATTGCGACATAAAGGTAATTCATCTCGAATTTAATCCATTACAAGCGAATAATCTGAATAAAATCATTTTTACAATCACTATCCATTTCAATAAATCCCTCGATCCATAAAAATGATCCATTTTAACGAACCAAGTTAAACGTATCCAGTTGCGCCTCTCGAGATATACGAGCATTTACATAACAGGATCCATTTCTAATTAACTTTCGACGAAATTTTACAATCATTCTTTAATTATAATTAAAATAAAAGTTAATATATTTTGCAAATGTGCTAAATTTCAAACAGGTTAACATATTACAGTGTCCCATTTATCATCTCTTTTCATTCTAATTTCAAAACCTATCCTGAATTGCAACAAGATCATCGAGAAAAAATAAGAGAGTTCTTTAGAGAGAGAGAGGAAAAAGGGGCATACGTTATAAGGTTTGCAAAATGGAGTTGAGGGAAAAAAAAGAGAAAACTATCGAGTAATTAACTAACGAATCATAAATTCGACTGGAAGAAAAATGACTTCATTAAAGTTGCAATTGCATAGAGAGAAGTCAAAGGAGAGGTGGCATAGTCAATCAACAGAAAGAGAAAAAAAAAAGATTGGGTAATAGTTCAAGAGGGAGTAGTAGCACGTTGCTGCAGATGAATGGTCACGTCAGAGAAGAAGACACTTCTGCTTAACTCGAAATTGCTACCAAAGTTAGCCATTTGTCGATGAGGTGTGTTTACTAAGTTCGGTTTTGCACACACATCGTACATTTTGTGGCGTGAATACTTCTAATCTTATTGTTCAGCGGTTACTTGATAAATAGGCATCCTTATTTATGGCAGCTTTTACTGTAGAATTCCGAATTACTCCACTGATTAATTGTTTGAGTACAACCGAACTATTTTCTACACGTCAGAATAAAGAAGTGCCACTTTCCACTTGTATAAATTTTGTAACGAGATATTTACCTATCCCCTTTACAGTTAAGAGTTTTAATGCTACAAATTATTTTTCTTTGAGGGTTTTAAAATGTTAAATATTTCAAACGAGCGTGAATAATGGAGGTTGATACTTATTAAGACGGTTAATGAATTTTTGTTTTGTTTAAGTAAACGATGTAAAAGATAAAGCGAGCCGTTCGATGATTAAGCTGATAAATTTTTAGTCAGAAAAGAAAATATTCGCTACAAAATTAACCAAGTATAAACTTTAGAACGATTTTTATAAAGAAAAGTCTCGGATATCTGCGACCAAATTGTACATTGAACGTTGACCACGTTGATTAAACACCAAAAGAATTTTATGCCTCTTCGATCGCGATTTATTTTCTTTATGAAGAATTTTCCATTGTAAACATTTAACTTTGAAATAAATGGAAAATTTCGAATGTAGGAAATTGCTTTCGGAACTACAAAGATTATTAAAAATGGCAGATATTGTCTGATACTCGCATATATCAACCCACGTAACTTATCAAAAGTAGTAAGGGCGTGTCCCAAGCATTAACCTGACACTTTCTGCTTTTAAATGATGTTGTCGCAGGATTTTATATTCGCCCACTTGACTCGGCACCCGCTGCGTTTTGTCGTTTGAAACGATCCATTTGTTGACCTTACGCAAAACTATCTCCTGGTGTTGTTGTTTCGAACCATTTCTTAAACCATCAAACCGTTATCCGGATAAGACGATGATAAATGAATCGCGTTAACCGTGCTAAATTTTAAAAGATTCCATCCAGCGCCTCATGTCTCTATTAATAAATAACTTAAGGAGATTCTTCTAGCACCCATTCGGTATGGGTGCACTGAACTCGAAACGGGAAGGAATAAAGTGGATAACTATAAAAAAAAAAACTGCTCCCGAAAGCGGTCCCACCTGTTCTAGGTGTGTACTGCAATCCCAACTCAGAACTCTTCCACTAGATAAGGAGTTTTATACTCTTCCCGTACGAATGTTATTACTGTCACTGGATTTTATGACATGGAAATTCATCATCATCATTATCATCATCTCTACAATTCTTTCAAACCAGTACTTCACTTGCATTTCTTTTTTCTTTTATCCCTGACGTTGTTTGAGTTTATTCTTCGTGATGCACCCACCATTAAGAAATTTGTTCTAGGAATAAAATTCTTCAACTTTGAATTGCCAAATAAATTAATTTATGCGCTGTTTAAATAAATAAAACACCGGAGGAGGTTTAATTGGTGAGAAAACTATTAAACTAATAAAAAAAATGGTAAAAAACAGCCATAACTGAAGTGACGTGAGTTTACACGTCGCAAGATGAGAGATAGCGAGTGTTTCATTAAAAATAAAGCTTTAAACCTGAGTTAGATGTTATCTTTCGCTATTATTTGATGCGAGAATCGGTTTTTGTGGCTATTAATAGTTTTTATGCTCGTTCTAAAATCTCCTATTGTACGTAAGTGCCTACTGCCAAATATTATTGAAAGGGGAAATTAATGCTACTTAAACACGCAAGCATCTAAACAATAAATACTCGAATACTTTTTTTAAAATTCGTTATTTGTTGTGTAATTTTACACTTAATATATCATTTTGTTAAGTAGTTACGCGAAAAATTGCTATTTTATGCTACTTTCCCATCTATACGAATATATCAATCTTTATAAAGATATGTTTAACGTCATTCGAATTAATTTCCAATGATTTAAATCGATGTATTTATACTGTAAATATATAATTTACTCCACACACAATTTCGGATGTTACTATTGGGCATGGGAATTCTACGTATCAAACAACAAAACATATTCTAGAAACGAGTTAATAGCAAATTTGGATCGAGCCAGGAGCGGAATAGCACCAATCAGGATAATGTAGCACACGGAGAGGCGTGGGATACATTCCTCTAAGGATAATCTGGCAAAGATAGTAGATTATAACGATTTTTACTTCTTGCCCTATTATCCTGACATAACTAAATACATTTTTTTTTTTTTGTCTCTCTTTTACTCATACCCCGACACGAGTTGAGCCTCTATAATTTATGCAATGCGGTAATTTGATATGTAATAAAGATTTAGAAGTTTTATACAGAAAAAAATATTTAAAAAATTTGTTAAAATCGACGTAAAAAAACTTTATAGATTCAATGTAATTAAAATTGTTTATCAATTTACTTTCTTCTTAACAAAAAATAACAATTAATTGCCTTACTTTATGTGTAACTAAAGTTAATTATAGATGCATGGCCTAAAAACTTGCCATTAATTTTCTTTGGTTATTAATTAACTATTATTTCTTTAATTTGATATCAAAATTAACTAATATTTGCTTCGGTTTGTGATAAAAATTATCCATAATTTCTTTAGTTTTTTTTAATAAAAGGAG